AAATATTATGAAACCATGCAAGTCCAGATCGCAGACTGGGCACCTGTCCACATAAACCAGTTGGTTAAAAGCTTCAATTATGCAGTGTGAAGCAAGAATGGTACCAGTTTTACCCAGTATTGACTAGTCTACTGTCTACTTTAACCAGTAAGCTCAAAGCTTTACAGAAGATGAGCTCAACACCAGTGAAACCAGTTTTACCAGTAGGCTCAAAGCTGTGGAATTCCTGCACAATCCAATATAGGAACCAGTTTTACACCAGTGGTACTGATAGTTTCTGGACTATGACAATCTATGAGTAAATACTTATCTAATATGAGTAACACATGTCCAAATCTGGGTCATCTCAAAAGGAACCTTTGCCCAAGTTTTACTGTATAAGGAAAAATAGTGAAAGACATTCTGTTCTGTAGAAATAAGACAAGAAATAGTTACAATAAAAGTGATTACCGTTATCCATTGAGAACAACCAATGCCATCTGGATTAACGACCAAGAAGAACCAATTGTTAGTATCAAAGTGATTACCATTACCGGTATCCATTGACAACAACCAACGCCATCTGGATTACCCATCAAGGACAACCAATAGTTAAGGCATATCATTAGATAAATAAAACAATCATAAAACTTTGTGCATATTATGTCACAAAACCCCATCTGAATAGTAATGCTGATCACTGCCCGATAACATTTGGCCGTCGTTATACCGGATAAAATTCCAGTGCTTACAAACACAATTGAATCTACGCTAAAATTGTGGCGAGTTTTAGTTTTATGCTGCATTTAGCAATGTTCCAGCAATATCCAGAAATGGGTTTCACACATTGTACCCAAATTGGGAATCGAACCCGGGTCTTCAGTACAACGAGCGAGTGATTTAACAACTAGGCTACTCTACGACCCTGGTCAGTTTGAAATAATCTTATCTCTACGAGGACTTCAAACAATTGAACACATCCAGTTCAACACAAGCAAGTTAAAATAATGATATAGGAGTTTACAGTGACCGGACTATGCGTACAACACAACCAAGGAGACATCGAGGTTCCACCGTGTATCTTTGTGACTGTTTTCTACCAGCAAACATGAACAACAAGCCACCTGGTAATATCGCACAGGAATGTTGGCATGGAAGGAAATGTGTTCATACGAAGGACAGAAACACGCTCATACAAATATACAACTGAACAATACAGGTATATAATAACAATGGAGGAATCACAATATAATGCATGTCCTGATACTGTGAGTGAGTGAGTTTAGTTTTATGCCATTTTTAGCAATATTCCAGCAATATCACAGCGGGGGAACATCAGAAATGGGCTTCACACATTGTACCCATGTGGGGAATCGAACCCAGGTCTTCTACGTTATATGCTTTTTAACCACTGGGCTACCCCAACCCCCCCCCCGATACTGTGGGTGGAATACATCACCTTTATTTCATACTTTGATATTCTTTGTTTTGCAGGTGAATCTCAACCCTAAATAATCTGTATTTAAATTTATAAATTTCAGGAATCAAAGATGGGATATCGTAATGCAGACCCATACATGCTGGAGTACACTGTGAATATCAGGCTATTTATAGCTAACCAAAAACACTAAAGAAACTGCCAAAGCTGGCCGTTGAACAGTTTCGTTCAGCCAATAAAAAGTATAGGCGACAACCTGAGCATGCTTGTCAGGACCTGCTGACAATGCATAAATGATCTGTGAATCACATGACTTTCATTCAACATCAAAGACAAACTACATACATTTTGGCAGATTGTCACAGTGGGATATCAGAAACCTAAATCACCATACAAATCCAACACTTTCTCAATGTGTTTTTTGACAGTAGTTCAAATATCCTTGTGTCTAGTGACCTTCTTCAAAACAGGAAGCACTTTTTGTTTACATTTAGGCCAGACCAATTTCATTTCTTGTTTTACAGATTTTTGTCCTAAAAAACCCCCAAAAGGCAGGAGGGAAAAAAGAAAAAGAAATCACCAGTCAAAGTAAAATTCCTTTCAAAAACTAAAAAATTCTAACTTATGGCAGTTTATGAAGTGTGTACAGGGCAAAAAGCAAGCTAAAAAGAATTTTCTTGTACGTTTACATTTTCGGCCAATAAAAACATTAGTATTTTATTTTTGAGTGGGGAATATTCATTTTTATTTTTTTTCTTATTCTTGAAAAAACATCACCGGCGGATCCGTAAAACAAGAAATAAAATTGGTCTGGCCTTAGCTGACAAATCTATGAAATAAAAAATGATTATTATAAACCATGTGGTTACTGAGGCCTTGCACCTGCGTCTTAAAGAAGGAACAAGAGATGGGCTGTGGCCTTGGTCTTCTACACTTGATTACCCTGCAAATCTGACACACTTGGAATGGCATGGTGAGTGAAAAAGACGGAATCCAGTGCCAAACAAAATTTACGTTAATCATGTTTTGTTTGCTTTTGTTAACACTGGAGAAAAAATACCCAATAAAGTGATAATTAGAATTAGGAAGATTGTAATGAGGGCTTGGATAAGAGGTGGGTGAAGAGAAAAAGAAAGTTATTTAACATACCTATGGTTGTAATTTGATTCAATTTATAAGCTCAAAGCATCTAAACGCAAACATTCTTCACGTCGCTACAGCCCAAATAATTCTATTTCATTAAATCCGAGATCCAGTAGGATACCTACTTAAATGATTCAATCGCCTAAAAGGACTCATTATTTGGTCATCACTGAGTGAGTGACTTGGGTTTTTTGCCACTTTCAGCAATATTCCAGCAATAGGATGGTATAACACCTGAAGGAGGCGTCATACATTGTACTACCCATGTGGGGAATCTACCCAGGTTTAACATTGCACCAGAATTATTTTGCCCTTTAAGGACCAGACCACACTGGAGTAGTGGCAGGCAATTAATGTTGACCATACACTGTCCTTATTCTGCTTTCAATAAGTCACTCACTTATGTTTGCTCTGCTTGATACAAGTGGCATTGTTTCAGGACATTTTGAAAAAGTGAAAATCTATCGACAATTTTTATCATCTGCAACATGAACAATTTGCAACACAAATCATCAATCTTTACATTCCAGTATTAAAATGGATGACAGTGACAAACTTCTTTGGCATTTCAAACAGAATGGACTAAACATACTAAACTATGGCAGAGAATGGACTGTCTTTCCCGAGTTCGATACAAAGCAATTCACAAATCAGTCAGGATGGCCTCTTGAAACTGCGGATGTTAAATTTAAACTACAAAAACTACAAGCAGCATATAAATAATGCCGGAGACTGTGACAACTATTGTAAACCTATACTACATTATTGCACATCTGTTAAACCATATCACTCACAAGAATACAGTTTTCTTCAAATATAAACCATGAATATCAGAAAGCACTGGAACACAACAACCGGACACAATGACACAAGGGTCAAAAAGGTCAAGGACATTTATGCCCTACATGTCACAGAGACCAATGTGCACATGGTCACACAAGGTCAAGGACGTATATGTCAACTACAAGCATAACTTGCTGTAAAATCACAGGAGATCGAGTAGTCTATTTTCCAAGAAAACACTCAAGATTCCTTGAAATTGATGTTACAACTAAAAATAAATTGAATATACACTTACTGGCAAGTACCATTTATTAAAAACTATATTGAATATTAATGAAGAAGACTGTGAGATCATGAGGATTGTTAAGGGAGCTGCACTCACAGCCTAACCAAATCAATCAATTCCACATCATATATATTGTCGAAAGGCAAGTATAAGTGTAAGATGGTTGCAACAATCATTTGATTTTCTTTGGGAGTGGGGGGAGATTACACACGGAGAAATGATATTTTTTAGCCACAAAAGCAAATTATTAATCAAAACTATGAGCTAACACATCCCTTTTTCCAAAATATCACACACAACAGTGTATTTCGGTGGGTTCTTATTTAATTTTTCATCAGTCTGAAGCAAAATAACCTTCACGGCATTTTCAAGGACACTTCCTAATATGGTAATATCCCAGGTGTCGCTTTCTTCCACTTGTGCAACAACAACTTTATCAATGTATACCAAGATCACTGTTGCATTTAAAAGTGCCACTCTGATTTGTCCTTCGGAATTAATGCATACCTAATTTTCCAGAAAACATAATTTAGAAAATATGTTTCTTTACCTTTTATCCATATTATCCTTTTCATTTTCTATATTCAAGGTTTATTTTGTGAATCACACTGCATCAGTTTGTTCAATGTTTTAGTGTGTTGATCCAATCACCTGCTTTATTACAAGATTCATGTCGTATCCTAATAAGACGTTTGTGTTGAAAATTGAAAATCACAACTGTAAGTTGTATACATTATGTATCTACAATACTTATCCTACAGGGGTGCTATGGTATACTGCGGCATTTTGCCTTCGGTTCGGTATACCATAATGCAATCCGTTTTCGTACCGTAATTTTATTAACCTTTTTCTAGAATGTCAAGAATTCGAATCATTTTGTCAAAATTAGTGTTGGGAATTGGTTGAAATCTCACAATTGATGATTGGTTCAATACCAACGACCAATCATCGAAAAAAAATTGGTTAGTGTCATTTTTTAGATTTTCCTATTCAGGTTGTAGTTGCAGATAAGTATAAAGAAAACAACATTTGGTTCTCTGTTGTTTTTTAGAAACTGCACAAATTACATTTGCAGATTTCACATCCAGTGTAAAATGATTCAGTTCCAGTATAACATTAACTTCCCAAATTCTTCAAGAAATATTCAGTCATGACTTTTCAGAAAGTGAAGTGAGTTTTCTTAGAAATAACACGTTTTCAGGCCCTGACAACGTCCTAGATATGTTTCATCATCAAATATTTCAAACTCTATAACAGCGGTTCCAAAATGGTTTGTGTTCGATTATGAGAAAATGTGATCGATTGCTTGGTCGTTTGGCCACTGTCATTAATCTTCGATTATTTCAATTAATCAGACCACCACAAGTCAAAATCTATGCATTTCTTTGCTTGCTTCTCTTACTGAACTGAAAAGGCTTGTACCACAATACGTTCCGTACCGTGGTAAGAGCGTACCATTCCACCCCTATTATCCATCTCACCATGGGATAAGTGCATAATGTGAGATAGGCTTGTAAATCACCAGGATGAAGAGAATGAAGACAGTTGTGTGTTATGTGGAAAAACATAGGCTTTGCATGAGCCTATGGTGAATGCTTACAACAACATGAGGAGCTGAGGTGTGTTCAGCTGAGTTGTCAGAAGAGGCTAAAAACTTTCCAGGTTAAAAATTCATGAATTCCAGGAGAACTAGGCGCTAGAACATGTGTTAACAGTGCAATTGCAGTACAAGTATTTGGCACATGAATGCAATTAATTTTTAACCCTCATTTACAGAATAAACTGTTTCTACTTTGTCCTAAAAGGGAGAATAAGTTTTAAGGAAATATGAAAATGGAAAACAAAAGATTCTTGTCTAATGAGCGATGCACAAATGATAAATGCTTGTTCACATCAATAAATATCATACCAGAACACCTCTCTAATATCATGAACACATTTCAGGCCAATAATCTAGTCTGATCTTAACAGCTGAACCATCAAATATACGATCCATCCAAATAGCCAGCCCACTGAGGTACTTCCTGCTGAAGTCCGCATTGTCCTGTTCCTGTTCCGAATCTGAGTCATCGTCAAGGAAACCGATGGCCCGAGAGAGATTATTGTGTTCCTTCATCCACTGCCGTGCCTTCTTCGGGTGGAAGATGTAGTAGTATTTGCGGTACCCGTTGATGGCGAGGACAGTGCCGACGCAGCTGTTGATGTTGATGTTGTTGAGCTTGATCTTGAAGTTGAGGCTGAGCTCCAGGAGGTGTTGGTACCAGTCGATGTAGTACTCCAGCTGGAGATAGGCGAAGGTCAGCGCACTGTACCTAAGATCACAAGGGATGAGTGAGTGAGTGAGTGAGTTTAGCAATATTCCAGCAATATCACGGCAGGGGACACCAGAAATGGGCTTCATACATTGTAACCCATGTATGGAATCGAACCCAGGCCTTCAGAGTGACGAGCGAATGCTTTTACCACAATGCTACCCTACCACCCGAACAGGAATGAGTAATGCACAAATAGAAAATGGTTATGTTTCAACCTGCGACTTAAAATTGTAGAAACTTCACCAAAAATTCCATAACTGTAATCAAACATTCACTGTACCTGAAGCTCACAAGGAAAGAATAATACAGAGATAGAAATGTTTCAAGCTATGACTTAAAATTGAAATAAAGTTCACCCAAAATTCGCATATTTCAATTGAATAGTTTCTAATTCATGTTAATGCAGTTGTAACTGATGCCATGGCTTTGTTGAGGTCACATGTGTATCACTGACAACAGGAAGAGGCATTAACACTTTGCTTTACATTATTTCACGGTTAAAATACCTCTGATTTTGGAAAAAAAATACAGAGATAAGAAAGGAAAACTTAAGGACTTTCTCACAATTCGCCTGGCACAGGCACTTAAAATTCTTGATAAATCAGTGCAGAGGCACTCAAAAGTAATAGGAAACTTGAGCACTGGAGTAGGTTGGGTATACACACACCTGGAGTGTTGAAAACACCACAAATCATCAGATCTGTTACTGAATCTTGGCACCTCAAAGGAACATAATTCTCTCTTGTCCTCTTGTTTGATCCTCCAAGCTGACTATGAGAACGACCTACCTTGAATATGGTTGCATGATTTGGGCAAAGCGGGTCAACATTTGCTCCTTGGATGTCTCGTGAACGAAGATGATGATGGTTAGGCCTGTGTCTGCCTCAGCAACAAGATTCTTGTAGGTCTCGAACCTCAGCTCGTACAGATGGATAGTTTGGTTGTCAGCCGAGCTGGAATAACAGAGTTCAGTTTTATGTACATCACAGTGTGAGAATGATAGTCAATGGGCAATGCCTTAGCACAAATGGGTTCTGCCATATGCTCCTCCCTCACGAACACTTGTATTGCAACACATACACTTCAAACTAACATGTCACAAACTTATGGTTGTCGTGAGAGAGAGAGAGAGAGAGAGAGAGAGCACCGGACCACCCATCACCACATGATATCTTTTGAAACATGTATTGTTGTACACTGGTATACCAGTTAGCAGTATTCCAGCTACTTCAAAATGTCAAATGGCAACAGAGTTGTCTCCCCTTTGGAGTATTAAATGCTTCTATTCCAATGTGAATGAACAGAGTTGTCTCCCCACTGAAGCTGTACTGCCTAGAGTATATTTCCGTGTAGAACCAACAGAGTTGTCTCCCCACTAAAGCTGTATTGCCTATATTCCAGTATAGAACCAACAGAGTTGTCTCCCCACTGAAGCTGTACTGCCTATATTCCAGTATAGAACCAACAGAGTTGTCTCCCCACTGATGCTGTATTCCAGTAATGAGCCAACAAAGCTGTTTGCCCACCTGGAAGGGGGCCGCATACTCCTCCTCTTGGATTCCATCTGCCGCTTGACCTTGTTGTGTTCCTCAGTGGCAATCCTCTGCATGAAGTAGCCAGCCAGCATGACGAACATGACAGCAAATATGACGGTCAACAGCGTCATCCCATCATAGCTGAAAACAAAAGCAATGTTAATTGTCGCACACTGTCTGCAATACTCATACATCTATAACTTCAAAATGTTTCCAAGGACTGTTTCTCTCCATCCATCCATGGAACAGAGCAGCAGAGTTTAGTTTTACGCCGCTCTTAGCAATGTTCCAGCAACATCACGTCCGGGGACACCAGAAATGGGCTTCACACATTATCCCCATGTGGGGAATCGAACCCAGGCCTTCGGTGTGACGAGCGAACCACCCTGCCCCCATCTGGAATCTAAGGCTTACAGGAGGTGGGATTACCTCAGATCAACACAAACCAGAGACAAGCCAGTGACAAGATGGCAGTACAAAAGAGCTCATAAACTTCCAACAGGGATATTTGAGATTCGTTTGTTTTGGCATTACAGAGGACATACAAACTGGGACATGTGACCATGGTTAACAGAACTTACCTAAATGCGAAAAAGAAGAGTCTGTCGGCCCAGTCAAACAGCTTGTGAAATATCCGAGTCAGCAAACTCTGAAATCACAATGAATGTTAAGGTAATCAGATCTAAATGTTATTGTATGTGGCCTATTAACTATAAACCCTAGATTACATATACTAGTAATTCAACCAGACTAATGCCTTTGTACAGCAAACTTGCGAGACAAAATCAATTGCCTGTCCAACTCCTCCATGGATATCAAAGGGTCCTTTCCTTTAGACAGGCAACTTTACATTTCACAACTTGATTTGGTAGATACAAGAGCACAGTCCTTCAGGGGGTCATTTCTATGACAAAGCAACTGCTTTGAGGTGGATAGGAGCGTTATGACCGTCATAAGTCTATGTTTAAGTATGGGAGTTACGACAGTTGTAGCGCTACGATTCCTTTAGAAATAGGGCCCAGATTGGTACATCTAACTAAACCCTGTTGCACCTCTCATTCATCACATGTCCCATACTGTCGGTGCTACCCTTCACACCCTGCACAAGATGGACTGAAGACTTTTGACACACAAAATGAACAAAGGATTATGTATAAGACTGACTGACTGAGTTTGGTTTTACAGCGCTTTTAGAAATATTCCAGCAACATCATGGCGGGGGACACCAGAAATGGGCTTCACACATTGTACCCATGTGGGGATTCGAACCCGGGTCTTCGGCGTGACGAGCCAACGCTTTAACCACTAGGCTACCCCAACGCCCCTTATGTATAAGAAACAAGCAGAAGAGTTCCCTACATTCAATACCGTATTGTATTACAGTAAAGAAAGATGTCCTCACCAGTGCATGTTCGTTGTAGAGCTCTGTAAAGATGGCCTTGTAGGGTAGAAGTCGGTCCCGAGGTGACGAGGGCATGGAGACGTGCCTCAAGCTGTTCTCTTGATGCTCCCACATGGTCGCTGCTGATGCTCCAGCCAGACTCCAGGAATTCATAGTTCAACTTCTGACTGTCCATCCTCCACATAATGGCCACCTGCACAGAAGAGAACAACATTACACCATATAGGTTCCACTACACTAAATCAGAATCACATGCTCCCTGAGCGAGCACCATATGTAAACAACTGAGAAGACAGAGACATGTGACAGCTGTGATTGGATGAAATAGTGTGAGATGTTTATGTTTTTTTAAAAGTACATCCATCCAGTAATTAAAACTAACCACAATTTTAAGTATTTAGTGCTGTCATATTTATCACCATGACTCATGCTCATTGTGTGTACAGATATTTTCCAGTAGGTGACATTTGGTGCGGAACTTGAGTTGACGTGTTCCGCTTCATGTGCTCGGAAAATGAGCCGGACAATTTTGCGTGAAATTGTGTTTTATTGTAGTTTAAAGGGCACACTGTATCCATGTGTACATGGAATGGCTGGTGATAGCCTGGATAATTTTAAAAACATATAAGCTTACTATAGAAGTCTATGGGAAAACATTTGATGTTGTGTAATCAATAATGGCCACCTGTAGAGAAGGGGAGATAATCACTTGTCTTCATAGGAATACCACTAGGGATAACTATGATGTAATTTAAAATTTCATTTCCATTTCTGTATGTCTCAGTGGTACCCACAGATAAAAGGTAGCCATAATCCAGAGGGAACGTTTACGACATAATTGCACAATTCCCACACATTATGACTGCCTGAGCTGACAAGAGCACTATCCTACTACATTATGACTGCCTGCATCAATTAAATTACATGGCAAATTAACCCCACATAGCAATGTTGTAAAGCAGATGAACACAAAGCATGTTGTCAAGATTGGAAAGTTTTCATTTATGCAACGTAACATGAGCGCTAATTGACCAAAGGATATGAAAGAATCCCTTGGTTAAGAAGCAGTCTACTGCTTCATTCATTATCAAAAAAGCACCACACCACAAAGTGCCAAATTCACTGGTGATGGAAGAACAGACTACTGATAGTGGTGGCGTGTGGTCCTGTGTATAGCACTCAGGTCACAAAACAGTTGAAGTTGAGCAACGTTGGGCGTGGAGAGCCCTTGGATGGGTGACCGTGTTTGGCAGCTTGACTCCTGAGAGTTTCTAGGACTTCAGTCCTGCCTCCACAACGAATCATATGTGATACATGTGGTCTCACAGGGAAGTGAGTTTGATAAAAATGGCCTCTGTTCACCCAGCATAAAATGGGTACCCGGTGAAATAAGTCGTGAGACTATTAACCTTCTAGAGCCTAACAGATAGCTTGGGTTATCTATGGTAATAACAATCAGAGTGTGCGCTTTGAGCAGGATATCTAGCCTGGAAAAGGTGCGTTATAAATATTCTCATTATATGCTGATATTCGAAAATCCTGCGTTACCTCGACTGTACTCTCCTTCCGGGTGATGTTGCCCTTGGTGAGAGTGCTGACAAACTTGTGCTGTGTGTCCTCGTAAATGTACACGAACTTCACCTTGTCCGCAGAGAACTTCTTGGACTGTGCAAAATTCCTGAAGGACATCCTATGTGGGTCATGGTCCACGGACTGTTTGGTTACCAAGACAACACAAAATCTGAAAATGAGAACAGTTTCTTGAGTTGGTATAAAGTAAACAGTAGATTATCATCTGAAATCATAAACAAGCATTGTCACTAAGGTGACATAATCCCCCACCGCAAATTATCAAATCAAACTTAAAAAGTAATGAAAGTGAAGGTCGTAATTTAAGATGAAGTTAAATGTCAACAAAAACATGACCAGTCAACCTCTCTTGATAAGGTCTCACTTTGACCTTGACATGAATGTCTTGTGTATGAAATATGCAAAAATAGTAATAAAGAACTTGCTTATTGCAAAACATTCAAGGGAAGTCTTGAAAGTCTATATAGAAAATCCAGTGAACTGTTCTTGAGATATCTCGCTGACAATCTTAACATGCAGTTTAACATGCTGAAATCTTCAAAGTGTTGCAGTGACCTTGAAAATTATGTGAAGGTGACCAAAGTCTACTGGAACTTGCTCCTTCCCCACATGAAGCTTGGTGTCAAATATGAAGAAAGTCCAGGGAATGGTTCTTGAGGTATCTCGCTGACAAGCTTAACATGCAGCTTAACATGCTGAAATCTTCAAAGTGTCGCCATGACCTTGAAAATTAAGTGAAGGTCACCAAAATTGACTGGGCCCTGCGCCTTCCCTAGATAAAGCTTGGTGTTGAATATGAAGAAAATCCAGTCAATGGTTCTTGAGATAGCTCGCTGACAAGGGTAAAACGTTAAAGTCCCCTTGTGTCCTTGAAATGAAGGTCAAGGTCACCAAACCTGACTGGGACCTTTCTTTTACTATGATGAACTTAGGTCCCACATATGAAAAGAATCCAGTCAACGGTTCTTAAGCTATTCCAATTTGTACGGACAGACGGACGGACAGAGCCTAATACTATATCCCCCCGCTTTGCACTAATGATGTGTCAACAAGCTTGTTTGAATTTGATTCTGACATCCAAATCATAAAAAAAACACATATTGATTATGGTGAGGGCCAGTGAGTGGGGATGAAAGAGATAGATATATCATGTCATAGATGCCCAACACCTCTGGGAATTCAAGGTCAGAGTGAGTGAGTATGTTTTTGGGGGCCACTTTTAGCAAAATACCATCAATATCATCATATATGGGCTTCATACATTGTGTCAGTGTGAGCAATCAAACAAGATCTGCAGCGTGATGAGCCCAAACTTTAACCATTGGGCTACCCCACCAGGTTGTAATTAATTCCGACCAAACCGTCAGGTCCGACTCAGTGAGTTGATGGACAGCATATTGTTCATTACTCAGAATATAAAGCATCATGATTGGATTGTCTGGTTTAACCATCGCAAGAGTGAAACATATAGTTGGGAATGATGCATGGAGTTTTGAATTACTTCCTGATTGGTGTTGAATTATCAGCTTAACAGATAGGTTTATCACATTGGCAATAGGGCGGTGGGATAGCCTGGTGGTTAAAGTGTTCGCTCATCACGCCGAAGACCTGGGTTTGATTCTCCACATGGTTACAATGTGTGAAGCCCATTTCTGATGTTCTCCACCATGATATTGCTGGAAGGTTGCTAAACTAATCTCACTCACATTGGTGACACCCTGTCTGACAAAAAATATAGCCATTCTTACTTCCGTCTTTTCAGTTTGGGTTCCGCTGGGCAGAGCGTGTCCAGGAACTTCTGTGACGAGAGTCGCGGCAGCAGCAGAAACTTGTTGGACTCGATCACTTCATCCAGAGTCTTCCTCGGCAACTGCTGCATCTGCAGAATCAAACACAACCCATGAGTAACAAGGAACACAGAAACAAACACAGCCCATGAGTAACAAGGAACACAGAAACAAACACAACCCATGAGTAACAAGGAACACAGAATCAAACACATCCTATGAGTAATAAGGAAAACAGAATCAAACACAGCCCATGAGTAACAAGGAACACAGAAACAAACACAACCCATGAGTAACAAGGAACACAGAATCAAACACAACCCATGAGTAACAAGGAACACAGAATCAAACACAACCCATGAGTAACAAGGAAACAGAATCAAACACAACCCATGAGTAACAAGGAACACAGAATCAAACACAACCCATGAGTAACAAGGAACACAGAATCAAACACAACCCATGAGTAACAAGGAAACAGAATCAAACACAACCCATGAGTAACAAGGAAACAGAAACAAGCACACCTTTGAGAGCAGTACCAAACTATGTAAATGTGTTGTGAGTCAAGAAAGATATTTTTAAAATGGTGCTAAGTAATCATTTCAATCTAAACATGACAAATTGTCAACTTGTTATAAAAGCATAGTGCATAGTTATAATAGTTTCAATATAAAACAAGACAAAGTGTCAATAACAACTGTCAACAATATGTGAACAATGAGCCTACATAAATATTGAAAAAAACAACCCAATGTAATCATGAGTGAGTGAGTGAGTGAGTGAGAGTGATTTAAGCTGCACTCAGCAATATTCCAGTCATAAAGAGGTGGTCTGTAAATAATCGAGTTTTGACCAGACAACCTAGTGACCACCAGGCCCCGATTTCTCGAAACAAACTTAAGTCTGAGTTTTGACTTAAGTCAGAGATTGTACTCAAATTTGAGAAAACACAGGAAAATGCATTTCCCAGAATAAACTGAAATCAATATTAAACTCAGACTTAGTAGACAATTTGAGTTTGGTGGATAGATTACTTAAGTTGTTTGGGAATTTTTTATTTAAAAAAATGCAGTCGAGCTAAAAATTCAGCTGTTTCCAATTGTCAAACTCAGTTTGAAATTTGAGTAAAAACTTAAGTTTGTTTCGAGAAATCGGGGCCAGATCTCATTAGTCGTGTCTTACGACAAGCTTGGGTTACTGAAGATTAATTCTAACCCTGATCTTCAAGAAGAACATGGTTCAGTGAGATAACCTGCACATCCAGGGAAGTAAAACTGCACAGTCATGATGAAGACATTACTTGGCAAAGTCCATACTTCCACAAGCATCCAACATTGACAGTCAATTTTCCCATTTGACTTACAGGTGTTTTTACAATTAGTGATAGGAAAATTAGGGAGTGAGTGAGTCTGGTGGTTTTGCATTGCTTTCAACAATATTCCAGCAAAATCATGGCAGGGGCCACCAGAAATTGGCTTCACACAGAGTACCCATGTGGGGAATCAAACCTAGGTCTTTTGTCGAGAGGGACTGCCTCCGTGGTGTAGTGGTTAGAGCGTCCGCCCGGAGAGCGGAAAGTCGCGGGTTCGATCCCCGACCGCGTCAAACCAAAAGACGTTAAAATATGGTACTTGTTGGTCCCTGCCTGGCGCTCGGCATTAATGGGTACAACAAGGACTGGTCGGCTCGGAGTCAGTATAATGTGTCTGAGTTGGGTATTCATGTTTCACTGTGGCATGGTATCTCAGTTGGCTAGCACTATAAAACCAGCTTCAGTCTGGGCTAGTACAAGCAGCTGCACCTACACATACACATGCATTGCACGTCGTCATATGAGCGAAATATTCTCAAGCACTTAAACCCAATTTCACCCCATCTTTTGTCGAGAGAATGCTTTAACCACTAAGCTAGCCCGCCTACAGTCATGTTAGAACATGCTTACTGTTTCTACAGAATCAACAACATCATCTATAGTAGTACTTACAGCAACAGAGGCCACAGGAGAAGACACCTCTTCGTTGAACATGAGAAGTGATTCTCGGTTGTGGTTGACGTTGAACCTCTTCATGAGTTTCGCTGCACCTGGTGAATGTGTACTGACATATCCACTCTTCACATATTCCCTGTAGTAGTGCGCTGGTGCCAGGAACCGGGCAGACAGCTGGTCTTTCTGGGAGAAGAATATAGCTCGCACCCGGTTGTCAGACCAGCCACTGAGGAATTCCCCGTAATTTTTGTCATTTACCTGTACAATGAAAAGTATATGAATTAGTTTTATTGCTGCATTACAAGAGAGCCTGGTAATGTATCAAAGCAGCCTGTAGGTCAAGTATGGACCAGACAAATCAGTGGTTGATATTATGAGTATAATGTCATGCTGCTTGGGGGCATTGACGTAACAAATGCAAGCCACTAAAAACGACCCCCTGATTTTTTATTAAAAGCATGGGCTACTTCTGACCTATTCTCATGAAGATATTGTTTGTGTCATTGTCTGGTCTAGAATATTGACTGACTGAGTTTGCTTTTACGCTGCTTTTAGCAATATTCCAGCAACATCACGGCCGGGGACACCAGAAATGGGCTTCAAACATTGTGCCCATGTGGGGATTCGAACCCGGGTCTTCGGCGTGACGAGCCAACGCTTTAACAAATTAGGCTACCCCACCGCCCCTAGAATATTGAAACACTTTGTCATTTTTAGTGAAACCAAACAGAATCATTATCTAAGAATCAAACCCAGCATCACTGGATCCTGGCACATTCAGGGGAGACAACTCAGTCAAGAAAAGCATCCTATTGAATGTTTGGGCCACCAGTGTCATCTTTCCCTGAATCAGTGAATGGACACGGATGTGACATGAATGAATAGAACCGGCAGGTGCAGTAACAAAAGAACTCCTTCAGCTATAAGTGGCTTACCTGTTGGAGAGTGTTCTTCGGGAACCAGCCTCGGACAAACTCTCGCAGCTTGTTCATGCTGATCTCTCCTTTGTAGTGGACCGGCCGGCCATTGACAACGCCCAGGATGGCAGGGGCGTGGCTGATCCGCAGGTGACTGACCACACCCTGGCTGTGCATGTCATGTACTGCTCCCACACAAAGACCTGGGGGTAGAAGAAGGCAAGTGAGGGGGTGGAGTGAGTGAGTGAGTTTGGTTTTACTCCGCTTTTAGAATATTCAAGCAATATCATGGTGGCTATCAGAAATTGGCTTCACACATTGTACCCATGTGGGGAATCGACCCCGGGTCTTCAGTGTGACGAGCGAACGCTTCAACCACTAGGATACTAGGGCTGGGACGATTCACCGATGCATCGCGATACATTTAAGTTTGATACAGCTATCGTATCGTGGACTGATGTATCGATACAAAACGATACACAACTTTTTTCATAACAGTATTATCTTAACCATGTTACAGTACTTATTTAGCGAAAAATTTGCAAGTATGATGGAGTTACTAGTTTATTACAATAGTGTTATTGTTAAACATAAATACCTTGAAATAAATCATTTTAAATCTTAATACCGTGCCATTCTTTCAAGGTGTATGCATTATGATACGTATCGTATCACACGTAATATATCACGATATGTATCGTATCGTGACATAGTGTATTGTCATCGCCCGTGAGTGGGTGGAAGACAGTGAAACTAATTGCTTCTACAGGCTGAATTATTGACGAAATTAGAAAACTGCCTCACTTGTTTATGGCCTGATGGCAGTGATGAAAGCTCAGAGCTCCAGATAAGATTTAGCTCATGTGGGTACTGTACCCACTGTATTTTTGGGGGAGTGGGTATTATGAATGTTGAGTGGGTATTTCATTTTCAGTTACCCACTGCTTTCAAATATGTGCGTATTTCAGTCATTTTACTCACCTAAGTATTATGTCATTGAGTAAGTTTACTAAGCAGGTATGTTCTGCCTTATGTCATACCTAATCAAAACCAACTTAAATATAATGGAAATGATTTCATAAAAAATCACTCATCCTATACTGACAGTACAACACTTGTCCTATACTAACAGTACAACTTGATAGCAATCGATGTCTTTTTCATCCGTACGCATTTGTTTTAAACTTTTTTGCGTATCTAACATTGAAAATGCGTAATTGGTACGCAACAATTATTTTTCAATGCGTAATTGAAATTTTATATGTGTGTTTTACCCGGATACGCAGCTTATCTGGGCCTCTGAAAGCTTAATACATTTTATCCATCACAGCGTTTGGGAGATTCCTATCTGTTTCCTTGGTGGGAAAATTAGAAAATAATTTTATCTTGTTCAAAATTGTCATTGTTGACCTCAAGATACTCACCCACGCTCTGTAGCTCCATAATAATCTTCTCTATGTATGGTTCAATCCTCAGACAGTCAAAACAGAAGCTGCTGTAGACGTACATAAAACATGGCCGTGTGAAACTCTCCGGTAGCACCTTCGTCTCAAAATTACTGAAAGAAAGCAAATCATTATGATGGTTACAAACTGAGGATGACAACAATTATGTCATATAATGTATTTCTACAGCTAAAATAATGTTTATATATGTCTTGACTAATTGCTTATCTCTTCACATTCCTGAACAATTCAAACCATCCTTTCATGATAATTATACATACCATGATATATAAAGATATGTATGCCATGATATATAAGGATATATATACACTATATGTAAGGATATATTTATATAAACCATTATATATGGATATATGTATATATACCATTATATATATGGATATATATACACCATGATATGTAAGGATACATCTAAGACAACAGTGCCGAAACTCACCGGAGTGTAATACGATGTTTATCGATAACAGAATCGCCACCAAATGAAAACCGGAATCCTCCCCCACCTCCTCCCGCTCCAAAGAAGCTGTCAAAGGGAGCGAATCCCTGTTGGCGGAAGTTGCGATTGCGGCCCTCGTTGTTACTGGCTGAGGTATAGCCGTAGTTGTCATAGGTGCTCCTCTTCTCGGGATCACTCAACGTCTGAAACACAGACACAGTGTGTGGTGGATTGACAACGTTATATTGGGGTATTCTGAATTTGAATAAAACAGATCGGGATTTGTTAAACTCAAACAGGGTTTTACATGACGTATAAATGTGTGTTCAATATGCACAATTGTAGAGAATGGACGCAGAAAAACAATTCACTGCGTCCAGAGGGATGCACAATAGTATTCATTGAGGACAAAATGAAGGTTCTGTTTTTCCTAAGAAATCAGAGTTTTTAAAAGACAAATCAGGGAGCGGATTTTGTATCTGAAAATAAGAGTGACTCCTTCAAATTTGGAGTGGTTGGCATCTCTGAAGGATAATTGGAGGGCCCCAGGACCCCGATGTTTGTTAGTCGAGTAAAACCCTGCTCAAGGTCTTTGTATGGTACATTTCATCATAATGTGATGTTGTGGATCATCGCTCATAACATTAATCACTGAATTGTCTGGTCAAGACATGGTGGCTATATTTAAAATTGGAAAAAAAATCTTGAACAAGTTAAGGTGTCGAACCCGGGTTTTTGACGTGAAGTGCCAACACTTTAACCGAGATGCCAGAGTAACAGGCCATGATTGAACTTGACTTTCACATGTTAAAGGTCACATGCAACCAAAAAATCAAACATAATTAAAACACAATTATCACTTATTCATGACATAATATACATTGCTGGTTATGAAAAAACATATAAACAAAATTATAAGCCTACAATCGCAAATCAAAAGAGCAATATTGTGTACTTGGGTTTACTTCCCAAGAAACGAAGCAGCCGGGATACCGAACCCAGTCAGAGCGGGTGGGTGTTCACTCAAGTGTAACGGCTGGTTCATTTGCAGGTGCCCTCACGGCTCATTGTGTGTGTATATATATAGAGATGTTGGGTTTTGTAAATACATGCTCATTTTTTGTGTGTAACATTTTGCAATCAACAGACATCATAACATGTCATGTGTACAAGTATCACACCTGCCTGTCTGTGTAATTACATAATGTGACAGAGACCGAACTCGGGCCATAAATCAATGCATTTTGTTTATGGTGTATAGCCTGATTGGTGTTAAGTTCAAATTGCATGTGGTCAGTGATAGCAGCTGTGTATTGAATATTGTCATTAGCAGACAGGCAGGCAGACACACAGGTGTCAATAAAACAAGACATTGAATTTTGTCTGTGACAACGACATATCTATATCACAGTTAGAAATTCTGTCGATGCTAAATAATGACATTGCTTTAAAGTATCGAACTGAGAAAGTGACTCAGTAAGAAGAACGTGTGGTGAAATAGACAAATGAAATTATATAAACAGTTAATTTACTGTCATAACATATAAAAAGCTCGCGTCTGTGAGATATCAACAAAACATTAGAAAAATAGCTCACACCAAAGCCTTCACCGAGTATTCACCGGACAACCCGCTTCCAAGCTGCGCGAACCTATTTCACTGCGCACGTGCTATGAGCGCAGCCCAGCTGTTGAAACCAGTTTTCCCCCGAAAAGTCGGGGGAAAATTAGTGAAACGTTTGAACTCCGATTTCGCGCATTTTTTTCATCGCGTTAATTTTTCAACTTTTTAAGTTGAATTTGCATTTTTGACGATTTGTTTCGGTAAGTCCATACCGAAAGGTATCAGAATCTGCAAAGTTGTGTTTTACGTTGCATGTGACCTTTAAGTTAATGATGTCTGAAGTAAATAAAGTCCATCAAATGAAAACAATGGTATCTGAAAATGTTATATGATGACTACACACCTTCCATTAGCTGACAACTCCGAGATATTTTGTAGTTGGTTACCTAGACCCTACAGACTAAATTACAAAAATGAGCCCAACTTTAGTCTGGAATGATTTTGCAAGTCTACATTGCGTCAGCTTCAGCCTGAAATTAAGAATTGTTTGGATCTCCTTTAGGATTTTATGTTTATTTTTTAAGAAATGTATTTACAAATCGCATAACCTATATTTCTTTGACAAGATAGATAATGCGCTGTGGTGTTCTTAGACAATCACTTCATCACGTGCTCACCTCATACGCCTCATTTATCTTTGTAAACACGTCAGCAGCATTTGGGGCATCATTCTTGTCTGGGTGCCTGGAAAAACAGTGTTGATTATAGTGACATGCATGTAAAATGTTGACAAATGTATGAATCCACATATGCCCCTCTCAGCATGCTCACATCTTTTTGCATTGAACATTAATCTAAAAAAAAAATTCATATGAAATATCGAACAGTTTCTGAGATGTGCTCTTCAAATGAATGCTGCAAATATCTGAATGAATGTCCAGTTTGGTGCTAAGATACAAAAACAAATTATTAATTAAAATAACCCACAGAAACCTCAACCGCACCAGTTCAACATGCATTAGAAATCCAAAGCTTTATGTCAGTCGTCACTATATGGCTGAAATATTGCCAAGATGATGTTAAATTTTAACTCACTCACTCACTCACTTCATGCCAGGCAATACTACTGACAACTTTAAGGGTAAGAAGAGATTAGTCATGAGTGTATTATCCACAAGAAAATACTGTATAAAGTAGGGGTGATTATTGAGGGGGAATATTGCAACATACTATTGCGACAAACTATTGCAATAGTTTTTTTCTCCTTGAATTGTCTCATTTGAAGTCATTTCCCAAATGAATGTAAAGTTTATATGAAATAAAAACAAGCTGAAATAGTTTCAGTCTCTTTTAATAACTGACAACAAACTTAAAACCCATATCAAGTAAACAGTTAACAGGGGGGAATAACTCTAAATCAAAGTGTACGAATCTGAAGCTAACTGTATTTTGTGCTGTGCATTGTGCATTTTAGTCAGTTACTAAACTACTGATAGTCACACATACTATCGATGCATACAATGCATCGATAGTTTTTCTACCATCAAATAATTGCTATCGGAGACTCAACAATTGCAATCCATCGATAGTTTGATGCATCGTTACAGCCCTAGCAATAAGTCTACTGCATTTCTTGATGCAGTAAATGAGCATTTCAATTCCTGGAATATTTTGCTTAATTCATGATACCTAAAATCAGTAACTTAACACATAAAAAGTACATAAGTTCAATCAAATGCTACACTCAGTGTTGTTATTGCAGTGTTGCCTTAGTGTAAACATGTGGGTACAAAGTGTGAAGCCCATTTCTGGTGTCCCCTGCTGTGATATTGCTGGAATATTGCTAAAAGCGGAGTGTAACCATACTCACTCACTCTCACTACAGCAAAATAAAGATCCGGTCACATCCCATTAAGGGACCATTCATAATTTATGACTTAGGGGGGTGATGATGATCTTTAAGGAGCAGCAATGTGATCACACACACGCACACACACTGAAATGTATGTACAAAGTAAGTGACGCTCCCCACATTCCCATAATTTTTAAAAATATTTGTATGTACAATACTGCTGACATCCCTAGTACATGTGTACAAAGTTTATTAACCCCTCCTAAAAATCATCATCAGCCCCCTAGCCATAAATAATGAACGCTACCCAAAGGTGACGTCAGACAGAACCCTATTTTGCAACATACTGAAATATACTTTTTTCAAAATGTACAGTAGCAATGATGATAAAAGATGTTAATTGATTTTAACTGAAACAACGCAAAATATGCAATGTTCGTCAAGAATTCCTTCACATTTTACTCCTTAGAATAACATGTCTAAAACAAGAAAATATCAGCAAGATAAAGAAACTCTGTCACTCAATCAACTGTGGGCTCTATGGTTACTGGGTATTTCATTTACTTTAATTACTACATTTTATTTGTAACCATGGTAACTGTTCCTGTAAAACACTTTTAATGACTTCATCATGAATATAACCTTGACATAAGCAATCAATAATTACTAATATGCAGAACACGACAAGACGATAAATAATCACCATGATGACTGTGGCTGTTTTCCCAAATCAACAGACGGCCATGAAGCAATTAGTGCATTATTGTCATGGCATAATACAAATGTCTACTACACAGATCAACAAACACTTCATGCCAGGTAACACTACAGAAGCCATCTTTGTACACTTCCACCCAATGTTGGGTTTCGATCTATCTTGAATCATCATGTTTCTTGCAGATGTAAAATTCTTGTAGTCGTGATCATGGATCATGTCCACTGAAGAAATCAATAAGACTGTTCCAATATCATCATGGTAGATGAGACACACCCAATCTATAAAAAAATGGCTGCCTATCCACAAGCCCACTGCAAGCTAATTCAGCTGTTTAAAGATTCTTAAATGATCGACTGGTTACTGAAATTTTAACAGTGACTTTTTTATGCATGTCTTCAAAAAAGTTTTCCTGTTCTGTATATCAAAACAACCATAACAAGTCAAAAGTCAAATTTTATAAGCAACACTACAATCATGATCAAAGTGACACCAGTTCAACTTGTATTCTTTTTACTAGGGAAGGAAACCTACCTGATATCTTTGTGAGTAAGTAAGCAGGTGGGTAAGTATAGTTTTACACCGTTCTCAGCAATATACCTGCAATATCATAGAGGGGGACACTAGAAATGGGGTTTTCACATTGAGCCCAAGTAGGGAATGAAACCTTAGTGTTCACCGTGATGAGCTGAAACAACCCACACTCTCAAAATCAGGCTGCTTCCTGTAGTGGCTGAGTAGGTTAGAGCGTGTGTGCTGATCAATTTGGTGCCTGACTGTGATGGTGGGGATTCGAATCCTGGACGGGATTCGACCCAACAAAAGTACTAGAATCTGTACTTTACTGAAAAATTGTAATCCAAATATAACCTGTGATACATCTGACCACTTTCTAAACGGCATTGTGTATTTAAAGTAGCCCTGTGTTTTGTTTTTCTTAAAAGTGTGATCTCTAAAAGTGTTCATGCTCATTGCTGTATCTTAAAAAGAAGCTGATCACAAGATTGTACCGGGTAGTACCCATTCGCTCAACCAAACTTACATTGGATTATCACATTATCACAGCACAGGTTCACGAATCAATAACTTTGTCGGCACTTGTGCACGTGCCTTCTCTAACTTCTGGCTGTCCCTTTCTCTGCACTCCTCCCTCACAGAGTTTGTGTGATGTTTTGATTATGATCAGCGTTTCATTGAGTATAATATGTTTATTAGTTTTCAAGTTAGATTGCAATTGTAAGCCAAACGGACTATACAGGCAAGTCCGGTAATTCCACACGTCCGGTAATTCTGCGCAGTTGCAATAGCGTACTTCCGTACGGTGGTAAACATCGTCTGCTACCACATTTACGCTTTAAATCGGGACATTTCTACAAGGGCTGGCTTTTAATCACTAAAGGTAAGTAAATAACAGTAATTGACAGATAAATTGACAGTTTTATGAAAATTTGTTTTCTTCAGATTTTTAAACCTTTTTCATCATTATTCATAATTGGATTTAATATGAAACACTCTTCCTTACATTGATGAAGTGATTTTCTAAAACAATCTGGCCCTAATACGCTTCCATACTTCGGATCTCCAGCTGGATGTTGTGCGCATCAGTTGCAGAATTACCGGACAGCAAGCGATGTCGTTAGAACGCCAGTAAGGTCAACCGTTTGGCATAGTGCAACGTTAAAATCTTATAGTCGTCAATAAAACTAATATTTCTAGGTAAATATGATACATACCAGCATGTTTAGTCACGTAAACCACAAAAACTAAGAATTGTTAGTTGCCGTGTTGCGATCGATGTGCTTATGTGCGCGGATTTACCGGACGGCATTGTAGCCGGGTTATGGTATCATTCGCAATGTAATTACTGGAACAATGTGATGATCAAGACACACAGTACAATAACAGTAACTGAATTGCAACAATATTACAACATAGTATTAACAATAATATTTCAGTCTCTGGGACCCCCCACTTTGTAGTCCAGGACCCCTGAAAATTAAGGGTAGAACCCTAAGTTGTCCAAGTGTTTTGGTACGAGTGGATACCGGTTGACCCACAATTGGATACAAGTTTACAAAAACGTTTGATTATGAATCTCTATAGTTCTGTTCCTGTGCATCATGCATGTGTTTGTTGCTGAATCTTCCTGTGATTACATGATAGGTGAGGTGAGGTGAAATTGGATTTAACGTCGTGCTTGAGAATATTTCACTCATATGACGACGTGCATGCGTGTGTATGTGTATGTGCGGCTGCTTGTACTAGCCCAGACTTAGGCTGGTTTTATAGTGCTAGCCCAATGAGATACCATGCCGCAGTGAAGCATGAATACCCCACCCAGACACATGATACTGACTCCGAGCCGACCAGTTGTACCCATTAATGCCGAGCGCCAGGCAGGAACCAACAAGTACCATATTTTAACGTCTTTTGGTATGACATGGTCGGGGATCAAACCCGTAACCTTCTGCTGTCCGGGTGGACGCTCTAACCACTACACGGAGGCGGTTTACGTGATAGGAATCATAGGCACATACTATACAGACATTGAAATGTTGATATCATATACATAAGATTTTATTTATCTAATTAATTATGACAGAATATTTCATGTTGCAACACGCTTTTGAGTTGAATCATGCAATAAACACACTGATGTAAAATATGCAGTACCCTCATGAGCTCAGTTTGGTTGTGTTTAGAAATAGTTTACTGTGTTCTCAAGTGAAAGCTAAATCTTGAAAATATTCTAAATAATATTAAATTTACACATATATTTAATTTACACATTATGTGTTAGCATTCCAAAGTCAATTATTCAGTTAGACAGATACATTGACGCAGTATATATTAAAAAACCTAAACCCATTGGATCCATATCAACATGATCAGTAGGTTGAATCTATGGATATTATTCACTTTATCAGAATCATCTATTTACAGATATGCCAAGAATAGGAACAAGATTCTTAATTTCCTTGCATCCAAAGAAATTATCTGCGTTTTACGCAATAGGGTTGGAGGGTGTTGCATCACGAGAGACTACGAAAGACCGTTGTATAATATGACGAACTTACCATTCCCTGGCCATCTTTTTATATGCTTTCCTTATTTCTTGACTGCTGGCGCCTTTCCCCACTCCAAGAGTCTCGTACAAATCTTCACAATACGTAGCGATTATGCACCAAGCTATCACTGATATCACAATCGTGGTTTTCATCGTTTCACTCTTAATTTCTGTGATAACATGGAAAACAACACCGGCATCAAGCACCTGCCATAATAGTATACTTCCGGTCGCAGTACATTAAAAAGTTGAACTGGAATTCACAAACGATTTCTGAAATATATCCACTTAATATGATATCATCGAATTTAACACGGTCTGGGACAGTGAACTTCGTAAAATCAGTTTCATTCTGAGTGGCAAAGAAATCTTTTTCTGATGCACTGATATTGTCAGGGCTAATTCAGGATTCCTGGTGGAAATGCATACAGCATATTGATCTTCGTTCGTCCGTTTCCCAGACGCTGGGTCTCCCGAACCAAACCAGCCTCAACAAGAGATACTAATTTAAAGATAGCATGACGAGGCATTCTATAACGAGAGACCAGTTCATCGTCGTCCAACGTGTCTAACTTGTAAACGCGAACGGTCGCGAAAAATCCGGGGTTTTCTGTAAACTTCATTCAGATTATCTTCACAATCAAACCCAAGACCAATGTAGGTTGCCATCTTGAATAAGGTGTAAGTGCGCGCAACCTTAGTTAAGACAGGTATATACCTATCTTAGATTATGATCTTAGCTAAGATATCTTAAGTTTTACGATCGTTTCGAAAATAGCCTAAGACAAAGACAGATGCGACTACCCATGAGGTACGACTGTCTTAAGCTAGAGAGCTTCGAAAATCTAGGGCCAGGAGAATATTCTTTCTGTATTTACAAACACAACTTAAAAGACTTACTTCAAACTGCTGTCAAATCTCAAATACGCTCGGTTAACAAAATATCTACACATCAAAGTGAAATGTTGGTTATTAAATGTTCTGACAGTACCTAAAAAAAGGCATCATTTTAGGGTGAAAAAAATACATTGGTCATTATCAACTATGCCAAAGGTTTCATAATCCGCCTGGAACGATTACTCGAGAAATTATAGTTCCAAAAGTCGATAATTCGCTTGTAGATCATACCCTCTCCCAAGAGGATTGTATACAATCAGATAAAAAATAGGGGATATTCGATAAAAAGATGTTAAAACTATTGCTATTTTATATCATTAATGAGATAAATTGTTTAACAGTGCAACAACGACTTGCTGAGATATTCATGAGTAGTTGAATGTCAGATGACCATACATTATATCAGATGACTGACCAAGCAGCCTACCGTCCACCATGTCATTTACTATGAAAAGACCCGGGTTCCATTCCCCATATGGGTACAATGTGTGAAGCCCATTTCTGATGTCCAACGCCGTGATATTGCTGGAATATTGCCCAAGCGGGGTAAAACCAGTCTAAGTAAACTTAGCTCAGTATATTACTCGTTACACAGCTTATAGGTATTTGCGAATGTCAACTTTCGCGATTTGGTAAGCTGTGTTCTGACTGGTCAATAGAAAAGGTTAGCTGACGCGACCTTCTATACTAGGGTTTGTTAGACTCAGTATAGGAGTGTAACGAATAATACTGAGCCTAAGTTTACTTAGACTGGGGGTAAAACTAAACTCACTCACTCAAACTTATCAATGTCACGAAAATCCATCTGTATTCTCAAGACAATCCCGAATTCGTCGAGGCACACTCCCAATGGTTGAGAGTAATCGGTGGTTGTTGACAGACCAACGATATCCCACACGTCATGGATGACAAGTCTGGCCATAGTGAGGGAATGATGATCATGATGATGACGATGATGACTTGGAGAATTTGCGTGCGCTTTCCGACATGATGTCAACGGGTCCGTCAGTAGATGATGACTGTTAGTGTCAGTTTACCTTTGAACATGTTTTGGAAGTTTCCGATACTCATTTTTCGCATGTTGGGGCGGTGGGGTAGCGGAGTGTTTAAAGTGTTCGCTCGTCACGCCGAAAACAGAGGTTCGATTCCCCTCATGTGTAACACGTGTGAAGCCCAGTTCTTGTTTCTGTGATATTGGAATGCTGCTGAAAGCAGCGTAAAACCATTCCCACTCACCTGTTTTTATCTCGAGTGGCTTTGTTCAGAATCGGTATGGTTGTCGTTAACAATGTGGTTCCATCTCATATCTTCGTAAGTTTGAAAGGGCGGCTGGGTAGCCTAGTGGTTAAAGCGTTGGCGTCACGCCGAAGACCCGGGTTCGAATCCCCACAAGGGTACAATGTGTGAAGCCCATTTCTGGTGTTCCCCGCCGTGATGTTGCTGGAATATTGCTAAAAGCGGCGTAAAACCAAACTCAGTCAGTCAGTCGTAAGCTTGAAACGTTTTAACATACAGATGGGACACATGTATTCTCTGACTCAAGGGATACAAGGCAGACACTAATTGTCAGTCCCCGGGGCCTTCAAAGTTTAGCGTCGATTGAGGGTTAACCTTTGTCCAAGGGAGCACGTGCCATTCATGAAGTGTGGTGGGACAGTGAGTGAGTTTAGTTTTACGCTGCACTCAGCAATATTCCAGCTATATGGCGGCGGTCTGTAAATAATCGAGTCTGGACCAGACAATTCAGTGATCAACAACATGAGCATCGATCAATGCAATTGGGATACGATGACATGTGTCGACCAAGTCAGCGAGCCTGACCACCCGATCCCGTTAGTCGCCTCTAACGACAAGCACGGGTTGCTGAAGACCAATTATTTCCGGGATCTTCAAGAGACACAGGTGCCAGTGCCACTATTCGCTGCACTGAGCAACATCCCTTGCCAACAAACCTAGCTGCATAACTTCGGGATTTCCTCCCACATTTAACTGACACTCCGCGTTATATGTAATATTCTTCCAATTTCAAGAGTGTTAACGTAAGTGACGTTCATATAATTTGTAGATGGGAAATATGTATTCCCTGACTTGTGAAAATAAAACTAAACACATAGTTTCAAAGAGCACAACAAATCGTATAACTCTATAGGGTCCTGTAAATTGCGTTTGTTGTTTAATGCAGCACTCAGCAATATTTAAGGTATACGAGTCTGTAAATAAGTGAATCAGTCTGGACCAGACTATCCAGTGATTGACATCATGAGCACCAATCTGCGCAAATGAGATGCGAGGACATGCAGCAACCAAGTCAGCGGACCTGACCATCCGATCCCATTAGAGGCCAATCATTTGTCGCTGAAGACTAATTCTAACCTGGGTATGGTCTTGAACATAACAACTGATATTGTTTATATTTCAGGGATAGAAAATGGACTTAAAAGTGCTCTATTTCAACATTTTAGTCGATAACCCCCCCAAAAACAACAAAACAAAACAACAACAACAAAAAAAACAACCATGCAATTCCCTGCTGTGGCATGATGGCTCACCTACTTCCAATTTCAAGGTCAGGGTCATTTCCTGCAGTGTTAAATGTATTATTTCTCTGCATGATCATTTAGGTCAGAGTTCTTTGTGATCTGTGGCACGATGATGTTGTGGTTTCCGGATAAAAATCCTTCACAGTGAGTGATTGAGTTTAGTTTTACCACTTAGCAATATTCCAGCTATATGGTGTCGGTCTGTAAATAATCGAGTCTGGACCAGACAACCCAGTGATCAACAGCATCAGCATCGATCTGCGCAATTGGGATACGATGACATGTGGCAACCAAGTCAGAGAGCCTGACCACCCGATACAGTTAGTGAACTCTTACAAGGTTGGGTAATTGAAGATCAATTCTAACCCGGATCTTCACAGCAAATTAACAACCGAACTAAACAGATCTAATTAAATTAATCTTTATTTCTGTAAACTGCACATATTGGTTAAAGTGCATAACAAACTATCACAGCATGCATGGACGTACAGCAGATAACCAACAAACATTCATCTCAGAAACGTGGCACCACTTAAACGTGGCACCACTTCAACGGAACTGTCCAGGGAAATACTCAACAAAACTGACTTTATTGACCGATTCACGATCACGTTGTAACGCAACAGTGTTTCTTGGCACACACACATGTGTTAGACTAACGCTTAGTCTCTAAATATATGTAATTTTGATAGTCACAACAAACCCATTTAAATTGAAAAGGAGCCCAAGGCAGACCTGGGATTCAGAACCTGAGGAAATCTCGACTTGCTTCATTTAGGGTTTTAGCACTGCAGAGAAGGCTAGGCAGTAGGGGGAATAGTCTGTCTCACGGTCCCTGAACCATATTATTTTCCCCAATGCTTAGCCGTCCCTGCAATGCTAAAGCCCTAAATGAGAGATAAAGTGCCTAATACTGGGACAAGCCGGACCGTCGGGTAGTACTAAAATTGGATTGCAGAATATATTCATTGTCATGACCACAGAGTCAATCAGTGACTGAATCTAATCAAAACCTATCTGTGTGGAAACCCTACTTTCACAAATGAAAACTAATAGACCAACGCTTAGACTATGAATATATATATAATTTTGATAGAAACAAATAATTCAATTTAAACTAAAAAAGGAGCCTCAGTCAGGTGGGAGATTCAGAGCCTGAGAAAACCTATACTTGCTTCATTTAATGCTTACTGGTATGCATTGCAGCAAGGGCTGGGCTGAAGTGATAATAATATGGTTCAGTGACAGACTAGATTACAAACTGTATACCACTCAGAAATAGTAAAGGATTTTCTCATATTCCTGTACTCAATCTGTCATTATGACAATAATGACACTGTCATTGTTTAACCTGAGTTGCATCATTCCCTTTACCCAACTACTGCCACTAAAATGTGAAACCACGATAAGCTGGGTAAGGATGAATGGTCCCGTTGCCAACAGATGGGGGACTAAATAGGGGGGTCTGTCTTCATCACTTGTGTCAGATGGTGGACCCCACAGTGTGCATCCTTGAGACTCCAACAGTGACAAGCCATCGTTTTACAGCTGAGTGCATGTGGTGGCAGGTGGTGAGCATAGAGCTCAGATCACAAATCAGTTGAAGTTAAGCAACAATGGGCACGGAGAATCCTTGGATGGGTGACCTTGGCAGCTTACGACTCCTGAGAGTTTCCAGGTTTTCAGTCCTGCCCCACAACGAAGTACACGTGATACATGTGGTCTCACCTTAAACAAGTGGGTTTGTTCAAACATGCCTCTGTTTATGCAGCAGAAAATGGGTACCCGGTGGGATACGTGAATATTAACCTTCCAGCATCTAACAGGCAGCTTTGGTTATCTGTGGTAATGAAAATTAATCTAGAGCTTCGAGCAAGATATTCATATTCATGCTATAAACATGAACTATTATTTTTATTAACAGCATACTACACACTGACTACTGTGATCCATAAATCTGAAATTTGTCCATTTGGATGATTTCCCTGGAAATGTTAAAGTCTGGTTTAACAGGGTTTCACTGTGTTCAATCTTTATACATCATCACACGTTAAACAACCAAAGCTACTTTGAACACTAAATGTTCTGAAGCTCACCTACACTGAGAGATGAAACACTACTTTAACTGTAACTTGCAATTAACAGAGATATCACCATTTTAAAGACCTGTGGGTCCAGTTTATAAGCATAAAAGGTACAGAAAATCAAATGATTAAACTGATAATTCTGTGGAAGTGGAAGGACTATGGGGAAGCTGAGGGGTTAAAGCGTTTGCTTATCTTGCTGAATAAGTTGGAATAAAACCATACTTACTGTTGCACAAAAAGGTCGAGTGAGTTGGGTTTTACCCCGCTTTTAGCAATATTCCAGCAATATCAGGGTTGGGGACACCAGAAATGGGTTTCACACAGTGTACACATGTGGGGAATCGAACCTGGGCCTTCGGTGTGATGAGCAAACGCTTTAACCACTAGGATACCCCACCGCCCACAAAGAGGTTGAAGCATTCCATTTTGGACATGTTCTAAGGAATGCCTAACTTCGGCCATAATTGACAAGATTCATGTAAACAAGTGGTGCTCTAACCACCTAAATTGAAGGGCCGATATATTTTTTGTCCTTCAGCTTACATCTCAGCCTCATGCAAATTTGAAAAAAATTCTACTACAATTCTCAACCAAATGCAACCCAGTTGTCAAGCCAAATATATTTATATCTGTATCTCAGACAAACTTAGTTTTAATTTAAAATTTCATTTTTAGTTTTGTTGGAGATCTAGGTGGGGAGGGGCATTGAGGGATTGGCGTTGATGATGGTGTACTAAAGACAATTCAGTTGATTTGATCCCTTAATACGAGTGAGTGAGTCTGATTTTATGCCGCTTTTAGCAATATTCCAGCAATATCACGGCAGGGGACAGCAGAAATGGGCTTCACACAATTTACCCATGTTGGGAAACGAACCTGGGCCTTCAGCGTGACGAGCGAACGCTTTACCCACTAGGCTACCCCACCGCCCCTCCCTCAATAAGACAAATTTGACTTCATGACAGCTTGCTTCATCTATCAAAACAAACCCAAATCCAAAAACTGCACTCTAGATAAAAACACACTAGATAACTTAATGTAAACTGAATGTAAACTTTATGAAAACATGACTGACAGTTAAGTTTCACCTTCAAGCACTGACCAATTCATATTCTTAAAAAACAAATTCCAACTAAAACTAAACATATGTTCTCAGGTGTTATAAACACATTTTCTGGACATGGTACTTGTCCTGAGGAGAAATGTGCAAAAAAAAGTATCAATTTAAAAAAACAAAAAAACAATGTATTTGTCGTTTTTTTCCTCAACAAGTAATAACACATGTTCTGAAGCACTGACCAAAATACTATCTTGCCCTGAACAAGTATCCAAGACCCCAAGATCCAAGTTGGTTTCTGTATCAAGGGTGAGTGAGTTTAGTTTTACGCCGCGCTCAGCAATATTCCAGCTATACGACAGCGGTCTGTGAATAATTGAGTCTGGACTTGACAATCAATATCATGCCTCAGCATCAATTTCAGCAATTGGGATATAATGACATGTGGGTCAAGCAAGTTAGCGAGCCTGACCACCCGATCCCATTTGTCGCCTCTTACGACAAGCATGGGTTACGGAAGATATATTTAGAAATATTTACTGGTAAACAAGGATAAGTTGAGCACCGGCCTGACAACTGACCTGTATTAGCCTGTACGAGTACCGCCCACTGGCGCTTGCCATTGTTAGTGAAGGGGCCCCAGGTTGTCCGCGATCAGGTTTAGTGTGACTTGGTCAAGTGTAGTGTGACTATCGTAAGTCCACTGTTACAGCATAGGAGCAACGAATGCAACGAGATCTTAGGCTTATGAGAGCTTTGTGAAACAGGGCCCCAGAGCTACTTTTTGGGTCATTGAGTTATGTACTCGCTTGTGTTTATCTCAATTGGGTATCCTAATTTTCCTTTGAGTAACCTAATAAATTATACCCACCTCACTCAAACTCAGTTTGGTATTTTGCCATTTTCCATTATTTGTGAAAACAGAATAAAGTTTAAATGTTTGTTAACGTGTGTGTTATTTATATTTGATCTGTAATATGAGAAAAGATAAGAAAGACTGCAAGTTGCCAAGTTCATGTGCCGAAATAGAACCTCTAAATATACCTCTGAGTCAGTTATTCTATCTTCTTCAGTAACCTCCATCTGTAGCGCATGGGTCTGCTTACTTCAAATTCTAGTAGGTTTGCTGAGTACGCAAGCTAGGATTTGACATCTTTGTGTGTACGCATGTTAGGTCATATTTATTGAGTATTTACAAAAATTCAAGCGTACTTGTACGCAATAGATGTGAAAGGAATTGAGTTTTCACATAAATATTTGCGTAATTTACGTAGATACGCAGCTTATCTGTACGTCTGGGGCCCAGAACCTTAACATCACAACACTAAGAAACCCTTGAGGGTACGCCCTTGTTGTGAAGATAACATGGCTCTCTCAATGACAGGTGTGTTAAATTTCAATATTAATACACTTGCCAAGCTATATTATAACCCAAAAGCTGAGTAATACTTGTGTGAAACATCAACAACAAAATAATCTAACTTGTGTAGGAAGAAACAATGGAGGCGCCATCCCAACGTCAGTAGACCCCTCTACCTTCAGCACATTGCAGTAATAACACAGCACGAGCTGATAAAAAAGAAGATTTCCTGAGAAGCACTTTCAGCACAGTGATCTGTAATACTGGTCTTAGCGCTTTACGCTTAACAAGATATCTGTGGTTAAAAATATTGTTTACATCTATGAGCAGCAAAAACACTTCACTTTTCAGCAGTTACAAATATAAATAATGAAACCAATTTGAATAAACATCTAAACAAAACTTTGGTTTCAGATTTGATAAAAGTAAAATCAATAACAGTACTACGCACTGATGAGTAGTGTAAGAAAGACATACTGTTCTAGCATGCACAGTGGAGCATCTGGAAATTAACCAATGAGAGCACATGTGAGAGGTCACATTCATAAAGCACATGGAATAAACACAAAAATGCCAATAACATATAAATATCAAACAAATAAAAAGAAATATATTCACAGCTAAATATAATCTAGAAAGAAATGCACTAAGGAAAAAAAAAAAGAAACACAAAATGTAAGAAAGAAGCACTCATTCACACTTCACACCAAGGCATGGAGACAATCTGTCCATATATGCGCCTCTGAATTTTCTGTAATAGCATATATCATGTGTCAAATCACAGTGACAACATTATTAATAAATATTCAGTGATTGCCATCACAGCAACACAATGGACCCTGTATTACCATCCTAGAAGTGTATATTGATGCCATGTAGCTTTCATCGCCGATGATGATGATGACGACGACGACAACAATGATTGTCTTTGGAAATGAGTTAATAAATAAATTCAGTAAGGCCAGACCAATTTCATTTCTTGTTTTACGGATTCTTGTCCTCACAAAACCTAAAGGCAGGAAGGGAAAGAAAAGAAAGAAATCACCAGTCAAACTAATATTCCTTATAGAAACTTTTTTTTAAAAAACTTTTGGCAGTTTATGAAGTGTATATGGGGCAAAAAGCAATCTAAAAATAATTTTCTTGTAAGTTTACATTTTTGGCCAATAAAAACATTAGGATTCTATTTTTTGAGCGGGGGAAAATTCATTTATATTTTTTTTTTATTCTTGAAAAAAAAAGACCGGCGGATCCGTAAAACAAGAAATAAAATTGGTCTGGCCTAATGAGCTAATATAAGTACTCAACAATCTCAAAAGAGCATATTGTACTTCAACTGTTATGAAACTCAGATTGTGGTCCTCACTACCACTAAACGAAGATCTCAGGTCAACTGATTGGAGGTCATCCCACAGGCTGTGAACAGTATCTCTTGTTTTAAATACTTATCCCATACAAACAAGAGACAGACAATGATTTTGACGGAGTGCATTGTATCATCTGTAACTGTAATTCACAAAACACTGTTTAAAACTTTCTGAGGTTGCTTGCTTTAAAAACTGAAATGTCATTTTCCGATATCAGGTAAGCAATTGGTGGATTGAACCGTCATTATGGGGTGTCCTCCAACCTTTGTTTCATGGTAGCGAGAACTACAATCTGACTATACACATTAGGAATGATTAGATATGTAGTCAATGGTTTTTGTAGCAATTAATTTCATATCACAGCAACACATGCCATCAAGCTTTCTGTTTCTCTTTTCACACAACAGCTGTTCAAGAGACAATATCCATTCTGCTATCAATGTTCAACTTACAACCATACAAGCATTGCCCTTTCTTTAAACATTTCATTTCTGTATAAAGTGCAGGGTATTTAATAATGTGTAATTGTTTTTACAATCAATAAATAATCAGTAAAAAATATTTAATCTGTAATTACCAGGTAAAGTTTTACCTTTCAAAGCATTGTCCTTTCTTTGAACATTTCATTTCTGTATAAAGTGCATGGTATTTTATAATGTGGAATTGCTTTTACAATCAATCACAAATTGGTAAAAAATATTTAGTCTTGAATTGCTGCAGGGGCGGATCCAGAAGTGGGTGGTGGGGTGGTGCAGGGGTGCAGACACCCCCTTTCCCCTCGAAAAACTTTTCCATTTGGAGCATTTTCAACTATTTAAACCTTTGGACTTCATGATTTATGTGCACGCCCTTCTCCAAAATCCTGGATGCGCCCCTGTACTGGGTAAAGTTTTGCCTTTCTATCACAAATCAATACACTGGTCTTCTTCATGTGCATAACAAAATACACATCTTTCAAACACAAGCTACTAATCAAAAACAGAAATTACTTTTCCTCAAAGTACAGGACAGTCTTGTCCAGAAGATCTACATCGTGGATCTGGACAGTCAAGCTGGAGAATACCTTCCTCGGAGCATTACATGCCAATACATACTGAGACAGGTTTTGTTGTGACATGTTCTCAGCGAAATGGTGTATATCTTGAAGATAGTCCGAAGGACTGAAATAACGCTGACATCGTTTGCCGTCTGCTGGCAGTTTGACTGCAAGCAGCAATCTCTCTTCTTGTTCTGTTGGTTCTGGAGGTAAGGGATGTTCTGGCGGGGTCAGATTTAATCCAGAGAGAGGCTGGAATGGTATAGAGGCTGGATCATTCTGATCTTTTTGAGTTTCTGGTTTATCACTATTGTCAACTGTCATACCACTAGGCTGTCGGGTGGACTGGGACTTAGAGACTCTGGTTTCACTGAGGTGAAGGTCATCCAAGTCAGCATGGAGGGATGCAGGCTCATCTTGCTGGACATTTGGATCACCAATTGAGGGTAGGCGGCTGAATTTGTTAAACGATGATGGAGGTCTCATAACCGTTACATTTGGTAAATCTGTGAGGAAAATAGACAAGGTGAAAAATGTGTTGACCATAGATGAGAGTTGCTGAAACTGTAGAAATGGCAAAAGGGTCAACAAGTGCTGGAGTGATTGATCGATTAATCATTTAATCTATCAATGTCTCTTGCATCTCGGGAGACATATCAATGTTCATTAAAAATGAAACATCAAATTAACTTTAGAAGTAGCTATTTCAATGTTATGTTTGTTACATCAAGACAAAAACAACTGATGAAGTTTCCTGAATTGTAAAATTGACGAACTGCATGAGCATCAATCTACATAATTGGGATACGATGACATCTGTCAAACAAGTCAACGAACCTTATCGCTCAATCCTGTTAGTTGCCTCTTATGACAAGCATGGGTTACTGAAGATCAATTCTAACCTGAATCTTTACAGGTCGCTGAAGGAATAAGACAATCAAGTCTCGATTTAAGTGGCATTAAAATATCAAAATCAATTTTCTGTATTGAGTCTGTTTAATGAATATATCAGCATTAATGAAATTGGTGTTGAAGATAACAATTTAATAATGATTATTATGCAGCTGCAGGTACAATTAACAGGTTATAAAAAAATTAACAAAGGAATTCCATGAAATATCTGCAAGATCCGAATTTATGACAAACCAGTCTTTGTTAATAATATACTAGAATATGTTTCATCAAGGGCGGATCCAGGATTTTGGTGAAGGGGGATGCACATAAATCATGAAGTCCAAAGGTTAGGGGAAAATGCTCCACAGGAAAAAATTTCAGGGGAGAGGATGTGGGGGTGGTGGTGGTGGTGGTGGTGTGCACCCCTGCTCTGTATCTGCCTGTTAATTGTACCTGCAGCTGCATAATAATCGTAAATAATAAAGGAAATAGTATCCAAATACCTTCTTCCAGGGGTAGAGGTTGAGTTATCCGAGAGCTTTTAGGTCGTTGCCGTGATGACATGGGGCGCACTCTTTGTGTGGATGGCGGACGAGGGGGTGGAGAAGGGACATAACCCTCATCAGACCCACTTGACACTGGTCGAGGACTCTCAAAATCATCTCTGTGTACCATACAATAGAAAGAATCACACATGTATAACGATCACTGGTTTGTGATGTGACAAGGGACACAACTCTGTAAAGCATGTTGCAATGTAATGGACAACTCAGTCATGGTCATACAAGAGAAAATATTTGCTTCAGTTTATAATTGTTTTCTTCAGTAAAAAGCACATGCTGCTTAGTTGTAGCCAAAGTATGATTGAGCGAGTATGGTTTTATAACATTCCAGCAATATCATGGTGGAGGACACCACAGATGGGCTTCACACGTTGTACCCATGTGGGGAATCAAAGTAAGCACATGCTGCTTAGTTGTAGATAGGGTATGATTGAGAGAATACGCCACACCTTTTCATTGCCTGGAATGGTATCGAACATGCAGTCAAATGCCGTTGTGTCAAAGTTGTAAGAACCCACGGAAATACTTCGAGTTATACAAGGTTCGACACGAACGAAATGCATGAACTAGCAAATAATGCGAATTGACCAAACTTTACGTCCATATTTGGCTCATTTAGGATAGATATCTGCCCAGGACTCAGAGTAAGTGAGTTTAGTTTTACGCCTCTTTCAGCTACATTCCAGCAACATCACGGCAGGGGACAGCAGAAATGAGCTTCACACATTGTACCCATGTGGGGAATCAAACCAGGGCCTAGATTTTCGAAGCTCTCTTAGAGCTAAGATAGATGAAGTTAATGTATGGCACATAGGACTATCTTGGCGCTAAGAGAGTTTCGAAAATCTAGGCCCTGAATCTTTGGCATGATGACCTAATGCTGGGCCTCCCCACACCCCAGCCAGGGTATGAAGATGTTCTGTTTGTTGTTTAACGCTGCACTCAGCAATCTTTCAGCTATATGGCAGCAGTCTGTAAATAATTGTGTCTGGACCAGACAATCCATTGATTAACAACATGGGCATCAATATATGCATTTGGGATACAATGACATGTGTCAACCAAGTCAGCGATCCTGACCACCTGATCCCATCATTTATCTTCTACGACAAGCATGGGTTCCTGAAGACCAATTTTAACCTGGATCTTTAAAGGTCGAAGAAGATGTAATAAGACACTGACAAGAAGAAGATACTGATGTGTTCACTTGCTTTTGCAAAGTTAGTGAGTGAGTGAGTTTTAGTTTTACACTGCTTTTAGCAATGTTCCAGCAATATCACGGCGGGGACACAAGAAATGGACTTCACAAATTGTATCCATGTGGGGAATCGAACCTTGGTCTTTGGCGTGATGAGCGAACGATTTAACCACTAGACTACCCCACTGCCCCACTTTTGCAAACAAATGTAGATGTAGATGGATGGACGGGTGCAGACATTGACAAAAGCTCACAACCAGGTGAGCTTAAGAAATAAAGGGAGTTTGGGTGATATTTCAAAAACACTGATTGAATACAACATTAATAATAACATACAACGGAACTCTGTTTTGTTGGACTTGCATCCTCCTCCCAGATACTGTGTGTGACCTTTCCCCTCTCGGCAGCGACGGGTCCCCAAATATTGGGGAGGGGGAAGGGGTATGATAGACACCCTCAGTGCTGGAACGTCTCACTTGTCTGCCTGGCTGCTGACGACTCATGGGTGTCTCCTCATAACATCCTGCTGCTCCTTAAAGGGAGATAACCAATCTCGATTATCTCAATATATTATGATATACATGCATGGTGAGGATGTCATTTGTACACATTCTATGCTTAAAGGTCACATGCAACCAAAAAATCAAACATAATTAAAACACAATTATCACTTATTCATGACATATAATATGCATTGCTGGTTATGAAAAAACATCAAAACAAAATTATCAGCATACAATCGCAAATCAAAAGTGCAATATTGTGTACTTGGGTTTACTTCCCAAGAAACGAAGCAGCCGGGATACCGAACCCAGTTAAAGCGGGTGGGTGTGCACTCAAGTGTAACGGCTGGTTCATTTGCAGATGCCGCCCTCACGGCTCATTGTGTGTGTATATATAGAGATGTTGGGTTTTGTAAATACATGCTCATTTTTTGTGTGTAACATTTTGCAATCAACAGACATCATAACATGTCATGTGTACAAGTATCACACCTGCCTGTCTGTGTAATTACATAATGTGACAGAGACCGAACTCGGGCCATAAATCAATGCGTTTTGTTTATGGTGTATAGCCTGATAGGTGTTAAGTTCAAATTGCATGTGGTCAGTGATTGAAATTGTGTATTAGCAGACGGGCAGGCAGACACATGGGTGCCAATAAAACAGACATTGAGTTTTGTCTGTGACAACGACATATCTATATCACAGTTAGAAAATCTGTCGACGCTAAATAATGACATTGCTTTTAAGTATCGAACTGAGAAAGTGACTTGGTAAGAAGAACGTGTAGTGAAATAAAAAGCTCACGCCTGTGAAATATCAACAAAACAGCTCACACCAAAGCCTTCACCGAATATTCACCGGACAAGTCGCTCCAAGCTCCGCGAACCTATTTCACTGTGCATGTGCTATGAGCGCAGCCCAGCTGTTGAAACCACTTCAATTCCCCCAAGCGCTTGGGGAAAGTTAGTGAATCGGTTGAACTACGATTTCACGCGGGTTTTTCCATCGCGTTATTTTTCAACTTTATAAGTTGAATTTGCATTTTTGATGATTTGTTTCGGTAAGTCCATATAGAAAGATATCATAATCTGCAAAGTTGTGTTTTACGTTGCATGTGACCTTTAATATTGTGCGTGTGCAGAGAGCAAGATTTACTCTATCCAATACAATACTTTAGTCGTTCACAATCCCAAAGAGGGCAACTCACAAGCATAGGTTGGGTCCCTGTCGGGATGTGCCTTGTGTTGACGGGGGAGTATGTAGCAGAGCGTGGAGTCATCCCACAGATGACATCCTTACCTTGTCAGCTTGCTGACGGGGTTAACCACTTTGGTCATGTGGACAAGGCGTCCGACTTCGGATTAGAAGGTCCGTGGTTCGAATCCCAGCACGGGACTCGGAAATTTTATGGCCGCTACACATTGAAGAAGTAAAGTGAAGAAAATTTGAACAGCCTTTTTTTTTCCCAACTACCAAAAAAACCAAACTTTCCATCAAAACATAATTTAGAAACAGAAAATTTGTAAAGAAAGTCAAATACAGTGTAGAATAGTTGTATTTGAGTAATTTTACCATCAAATATCATAACATTTATTTAAAATGAAAAAGCACTGACATTGCTATGGTTGTCATTAGCAGAATTTGATCTGGTTGTATAATCATGATAACAGAAGATATTATTTCTTTTATTAGTTTTTGAATCAGTCTGGTTTCGATGTGAAAAACAATGACAAATTCATTGACATTTTGCTTTGATCAATGAAATACACAGACAATTGTCAATGAATGTATGTATATAAATGTCATACACTTATCATTGTTTCGATATGTATTAAGAGTGAGTGAGTTTAGTTTTACGCCGCACTCAGCAATATTCCAGCTATATGGTGGCAGTCTGTTAATAATTAAGTCTGGACCTGAGACAATCCAGTCATCAATAGCATGATTATCGACCTACGATACGGGATACGATGACATGTGTCAACCAAGTCAGCGAGCCTGACCACCCAATCCCATCTAAACGTCGCCTGTTACGACAAGCATGAGTTTATTGAAGATCAATTCTAATCTGAACACATGGGTAATATGTATTAGAGCTGTGTACTGGCAAATAAACTGTAACATATTGCGATTCATACTGCGATGTATAGGGAGCTGAAGGGTTTGACAGTGATTTTGTACATGCAGAGCCTATTTTCTACATACTATTTCTAAATATTCAAAGAGACTGTTCGATTAATGTGCATTTACACAGATCAGCAGTTTTCATTTGGGTAGGTAGTTCACTCTGGGGAAGGTGCATGATTTCCCTGCAACCCACCATCTGCCCATTCACATCCACATCTCCATTTTAATGTACCCCATAAACATGATAAATAATATGCGTGTGGATGTCAGTGGTGCGTATAAGGTGAACCACACATCTTGCACACGGCTGTTTGACTTGGTGAAGGTGGGGGCTTTAGTTTAAACATTGTGCTGGTGTTGGTATGATAAGTGTTGCCTACAGAGGCCTACTTTGGGTTCTGTCTGCCAAGCACGAAAGACAGCTAGACCCCCGATCTTGTGTCTCAGACACTGTCTGTCGGGAAATATGGGGGTCCCACCTGCATCACCCACACTGTGCTTATATCCCACAAAACATCGTTGTTGTTTAATCTTTGCTTCCATGGCACTTTGACCATAATACTGGTGACGGTACAATACAATACACAATGAAGACTCTAATCGTTAATGTTTCCAATGTCACGAGTTTTTGATATTTATTCCACCTACGAGTCGAGAGCCGGATTTTGAGTCCTGAAAGTCAACAAAACAACTTAGAGTGACCCATTGAACTGCTTTACATGAGACTACAGAGCAAACCTTGTGCACGTCTACACTGAACTGCCGAAGAATGAAAACTGCTAACATCCGTTGAAGTTTTAGAAATCTTCGCATCATATCTACCATGGCGACTGGCAGGTCGCGCCATATTTACAATACGGAGCAAATCAATGAGTGGCTGATATGATTGGTCAATTTAGTTTGCTAGATATTGATTCCCTCCAAATAAAACAACTAAAACACATATATTGATATCCTTATTTGAGGTAAAAATGTTTCATAACAATATATGCATTTATTGAGGAGACGCGTACATGTATTTATTGTTTAAAAAGTAGAATTATCTAAAATCGAATGTGGATTGGATTTGTTTTTGTTTTGTTTTTATAAAGATAATTACGCTGTATTCAAAGCTTTGAAGGCTTTCTGTACAGGCTAAAGAACTTGCTGTTGTTGAAAATAAAATTCAGATCTACATGCAAATCTTGGTATGGCGTGGCCCGAATTATTCTTCAGATGTCATTCTAGTCCCTTTCTCTTGCAACGCGACCGCCTCCGTGGTGTAGTGGTTAGAGCGTCCGCCCGGAGAGCGGAAGGTCGCGGGTTCGATCCCAGACCGCGTCATACCAAAAGACGTTTAAATATGGTACTTGTTGGTCGCTTCCTGGCGCTCGGCATTAATGGGTATAACAAGGACTGGTCGGGTCGGAGTCAGTATAATGTGTCTGAGTGGGGTATTCATGCTTCACTGCGGCAGGGTATCTCAGTGGGCTAGCACTATGAAACCAGCTTAAGTCTGGGCTAGTACAAGCAGCCGCACATACACATACACACGCATGCACGTTGTCATATGAGCGAAATATTCTCAAGCACGACGTTAAACCCAATTTCACCTCACCTCACCACTTGCAACGCTTGTTTGCGTTTTTTACGTCACCCGTTCATGTCTCAGACATGGGCACAATGTGTTAAGCCCATTTCTGGTGTCCCCCGCCGTGATATTGCTGGAATATTGCTAAAAGCGGCGTAAAACTCAACTCAGTCAGTCAGTCAGTCATGTCTCAGAGACACGCTCTGTTGGGTTTCTCGTTTGTTTGTTGATAAAAGCCTCTTACAGTAAGCATGGGTTGCTGAAGACTAATAATTATTCTAGCCCGGATCTTCACGGGTATGCTCTTTTGGGAACCTTTTTTGTATTGAAAGAAAAATAAAACGTGGACCAACAGCGCGTGAAAACACGGCCCATTACACAACGCTGTATCACCATTCTCGCGAGTGAGTTTTGTTTTACGCCGCTTGTAGCAATATTCCAGCAATATTACGGTGGGGAACACATATCGTTCCATGTACAGGCACTGAAAAGGTCATAATGTGTTTCAAAGATGATACATTTTTAATCATATATATACTTCCTTTCAAAAGTTTAGACTCACTTAAAACACTCACTATATGTTATGTATATATATCTGGTTACATCGAAGACTGATTTCTCCATAACTTGGGGAACCAACTGCAAAGCTTATGCAGATGAATTGCACGAGGATCATGCATCACATTGCCGAAAGGCATGTGCAAATATCGTGCATGCGAACAGCTGCGTTTTGGTGTAAAGTTTTGTTAAGAATTCGCCAATTTTTACTGATTTATATCATTTATGAAACTCATGTCAACATTACGAATTTGTTTTACAATAAATCAGGTCATGTGTAAACAGTAGGGAATATTTTGCAAAATTAGTTTAGGACAGTTGCCTGAAGTAAGTGGCTATATTTACACTAATGAAATGATGTATACTTCCAAGAACCCTTAGAGTGTCAAAGTGACACCCGATATTTAAAGCTTATTCGTCCGTTGTGCCTGAGGGAATGGCATTTTTCAATAACTATTGCGGGACCATCACTGAAAGGCCATGTCATCACGACTCATCTTTCTATCTGACTCACAGACCTGTGTATGCGCATGGTCTAACACACATCAATTGAAAGGAAATATGTTAAAGCTGTTATGGTAGATGAACCGAGCATCTCTACAGTGCATGTCAACTGTCGATCAGACTCCATGCACAAATTCTCATAGTGAAGACCAATTAGTAGCAAAATACACATAGGATTTAACCCGGTTAACTCCCTGGATGCCGAGTTCTTGTTTTTTTTTCTGACTCACATTTTCATAAGATCTATTTAAAGTGAACGTTGCGCGATAATGTCGTTCACGCGACACTGGATCTATCTACGGCTATACAATTACGCACAGATATAGAATAGTAAATATCTTAGTCGATGGTGTAAACTCAAGTGCAAATACTTTGGCGATTTGAAAAATAGACACTGTAAAGTGTTGTCCGAAATTTTGTTATGAGTTGAAAAACAGTACATTTCTTCGGGTTTTATCGTAGGCTACATATAACACTGATAAAACCACTGTGCGACGATATATTTCTATTTCGCATCTTTACGGAAAGTGTGAGCGAATATACTGCTTGATACCTGAACGATATACGTTTATATGAAATGGGTTAGTGTGCTTGTGTATACGTTTCTAACTCAATACTAAAAATGGCTGGCAATAAATGACAAAAATGGATTTTTCTCAATGACGTCAAACGACGTCAGAGGTCACGTGGGTATTAACATAAGGGGGCGTAACTCCGCTATGCTTAACACTCGGTCATTGTGGAGTTGCTGTGGAAACTGACACTATATTTTCGTGATGCGTGTTGACGATGAACCAAACTATTCTAATACAAATACCCACACTGTAACCGGATACGTTTTGGTAGTATGACAATTTATAAGAACTGATGATATTGTATTGTATTACATGAGAAAACACATAATAGGCTGGCCTTATCAAATATGTAAATTAGTTCTTAGATTCCCATATTCTCCTTTTTTGAATACATTTTGACTAATTTTGCACCAATATTAACAGAGTATAATAATTCAAATGTAATGAAATTACTGGGAAACACTTAAACCATTTTAGTTGACGTCATGATTTGTCTTCTGTGGTTTTCGACGTCGTCGGAAGACGACATTGATCTAATATGCTAATTCTATTGGAGATCGGTACTCGCATCGGAAATACGGTATTCTCATCTCCAGTATATGACATTTTATATCAAAGGTCTTTGTCATGCTTAACGATGTCTGGAAATGAAGTATTTGTCATCTGAATATGTCTAAATAACAAATATTTGTCATCCAAATATATCTAAATAAACTCAGCACTGGCGGTACTGTTACTGAACACGCCTTCGAACCGATTCTAGGAACCAGTCGGCCCTTCGCTAAATTCCAGGAAAAGCTAATGGGTGCTACTAAAATGGATGGGATTTTCCGATTCTGCAATTCGGAAATTATACGCTAAACTAGTATAAGAGTGGTCTATTTTGTGTAAAGTTGTTTTGAACTGAAAGTGTATCAGTTTATTAACGTTTTAGATCAGTAAAAACACAGAATGTGTTTAAATTAGAGATTTATAGAAAACTCGATTTCCGCAACTATAAAGTTAAACGGGACAATTATTTCGGATTGCTCACATGGTCGCGTGGCTCCTGATTTGCTACAGCTATGTTCATTGGCCATTTGGATTACACAGAGAGTATCATTGGCTGAAAGCTAATTTAGAATAATGAAAGTGCATATTGAAGATAGAAATTTCACATGAGAGATAAATTCAGCAGTGTCTTTATATTTGTTCTAACATTTTAAACGAAGATAATAGGACAGACATCAATACGTTCTTCGTCTAACTCACATGAGATCGATATGCTTAATTTCCTGCAGTGAATGAAGATACAATGCTATATGATATATTTACATAACAGAAACAGGAATATACAATTTACAAAAATAATGTTTCCAGTGGTTAACAGTTGTACATACATTGACCATGCACTCAAGCCATACATTATCATCAAGGGATATACAGTTTTCCGTTGGAAGTCCTCCGAGTAAGAAACAGATTCAAATCTTCATCATTGTTCCAAGGGCAAGAAAACGTATTTACATCTACTTTGTCAATGATTGAAAGAAAAACAAACCCACTGATTTTCATACAAAACCATGTCTTTACAAGTATGGCCCTGTAATGTTAAATGTTGAATTTATTGGTGAATGTGAACTTTCCAAAGGTCATTTTGCGTGCCTTACACGATTTAAGGTGTAACCTCCACGTGGCTGTCATACAGCCATATGAAGGTTACACCTTGAATATGACAGCCAGCACCCTTCTCCACATACCCCCTGTCAGCCTCCTAATCCTCTGGAGGGGCAGTCTACGCCATTCTTCGTGTAAAGTAGCTTCCAATTGGGTCAGGTTCTGTACATAAGGATCCCTTTGTTGCACACGACGACCAATGTTGTCCCAGACAGGCCACAGGCCCTCGTGTCTTTGCGAGGATTAAATTTTTTGAAAAAATATAAAAATTTGAGATGACCCCCGACTCGAAATGCCTCACAATACATTATGCCGTATTGTACTGTGAAGCATTTTCGAGTCGGGGGTCATCTCAAATGTTTTATGTTTTCTTAACATCTTTAATCTTCGCAAAGACACGAGGGCCTGTGAGACAGGCTCCAAAGGGTTAAGATCAGGGCTCATTCAATCGTGAGATATGTTAGGGCATGCTCAACGAAGTTCTTTATGTATATTACAGTTGGTCATGGTTTGATAGACGTCCACATATGTAGACTAACAGCTAATCTCTGAAATGAACATATTTTACAGAAATAAGAGTTTTTAAATTAATATTATAAATACAATAAAAGGAGCCCAACTAGACTTGCCACATATTCTAGACCTGCATGGGCTGTATTGGGTATGTTTGTGCCCAGATAAAAAAGACAACATTAGGTATTAACTATAGTTTTATCAATTCATGTTATCAATTGTGATTTTTAAATTAAGACATATTGCATCAACATATATGTACATCAACATATATTTGCCAGATCACATTTACGTGTGAATATTATCAAAAATAATAATTTATATACATGTACCTACCAAACATATGAGACCAAGCACCATATTATTTTACAAGACATGTTTGTCAGTGCACAGATAAGACTTATTAGAAAGTCACTTGAACATCATCATTGTTTCCTTTCACCTTGTTCTTGGCATACAGGA